CTCCCTGCATCCTCTGGGCCAGGCGGCAGGTGCCAGCGAAGCCCACGCGCAGCAGCTGTGCCCTGCCAGGGGGCTGCAGGCCCCGCCCCGCCCCGCCCGGGTCCGGGGGTGGGGGGCCGAGCGCGGCGCGGAGAGCTGAGCAGCAGGGCCCAGGCTGGCACGTGCGGGACGGGCTGGGCTGCAGAGGCGTTGATGCAGCCACGGGGCTACTGGACTGCGCAGGCAGCAGCCTCCCGGCCCCGCGCCCTGGCCGTGCTGCTTGGCTTGAGGTCGCTGCTGTGCATCGCCTCGTCGTCGGGGGCAGGCAGGCGAGGGCTGCAGGGCCCCTGCTGCGGAGGGCCGTGAGCGGTGGAGCCTGGCAGTGCTGAGCCCAGCGCTGGAGCCCTGCCAGCCCTGCTGCAGCGGAAGGGCAGGTGCCGTGCTGAGCTAGGAGCCCTTGGCCCAGCGCATCATGAGCGCTCGGGTGTGGTGGCCTGGGCTCGGCCTGCCCGCACTTAGCAGTGTGTCAGCCCTGCCTGGAAAGAGCTCCTGGTCTTTGCTGGTGACATAGCTGCTGCCTCTGCCTGAAGCTCAAGTGCTGGCATCTGATCTAGCACCACTGGTGATGCCAGCTCCCAAGGGGCCGTGCCACTTGCCCCAGCACCAAAGCCTGCTGCCTGTTCTGCCGAGCGCCAGCTGGGCTGGGCCTGACCTGGGTTCAGCTGGAGGGCTGGTGGGGCCGCTTGCTTTCTGTTCTCTGTCTGTGACTGGCTCCTGCTTCCTCCAGGCGATGATGGATGCTGGCCCTCTCTTTCTGGCTGCCGTCTCTGTGACGGACGTCCTGTGGCGGGGGTAGCAGATGTTTGGGGTTCACAGGTAACATGGGAGCCCCTGAGCTATTCCTGCCTGGGTCTGTCTCAGGATGACGTTCACTTTCAGACCTCAGGTGCTTGTCCAGCCTGCTCCTGGCACAGGAACTCCAAGTGTCCACAGTCGCCTTGTACTGGGGCTAGAGAGAAGGAGCTTTCTTCCCTACCTCTCCCCATCCCAGTGTCTTGTCAACCCAAGGCTGTTGTGGGTGCTGCCTGTAGCACTGTTGTGGACTGGGCAGTGGCCCTAGCTCTGCTCCCTACAGGGTTTGCAATGTCCTTGGAGGAGCTGGTGCCAACTCACTGGGGGGCAGTGGGTCAGACCAAGTGCAATGTGTGGTGGAGCAGGTCTTGTGCTAGGAGAGTGCTCCTCCAGGTCCCAAGCCCTTGGGGTCTCCCAAGGACATTGGTTTGGATCTGAACCTGCTGCTGAAGGTATGAGCCTGGACAGCGCTTATCCCAGGGCTGAGGTGTGGGCCGTGCCCCCTGTGCCCTTGTCTCCTGACAGGGAATCTTCCAGGCAGGACTTGCCTGGACACCTGAAAACAGACTTGCTGCTCTGGATGCAGCTGAGGGGCCTGACTCCTGATAGCCCCAGCTTCTGGAGTTGGGGGATCTTGGGAGCATCTCTGGCTTCTGTGTCCCTGAGTGCAGCTTCCTGCTGGGATGGAGCTCCCCTGGGAACACCTCCTTGGAAAGCCCCAGTGGTGTCAGAAGGCTGGGTCCTGTCTCTGCCTTACTCCCAGCTGGGGGTGTCACCTCTTTCTTGGGGTGTAACTGGAACAGACTGATCAGAGTCCCCCTCCCCTTGTTGCTCTGTGGGTCCCAATGCAGGAGCTGGCCCCAGGGCAGAAAGCTATTGTGCCATCCTGACTTCTGCTCTGTGTCAGCACCAGGCTGTGCCCTGTGTATTCAGGGCCCTTTGTCCCTCCAGAACAGGAGAGCAGCCAGGCCCTGCATCAGGGTGGAGCACGTGGCTGTTCATTCACCCAGCCCCCTGGCTGTCTCTGGGCTTGGAGCAGGCCTGCAAGCCTGCAGGTTCCCACCTGCCCACTGGCTAACGGAGGCACCAGGGCTCTTCTCTCAGTTCTTGTGACCGCTTCCATGCCATCTGCCTAGAGCGAAGCCAGCTGAAAGGGCAGAGCAGCGGTGCACTGCTGGGGTGAGGGCTGGCAGCCTGGAGGAGCAGAGAGTACTGGTGGGGACCAGCTGATCATTCTGAGCAACCTAGGGTACTTGACCAGGTGGGTTTGTCCAACAGCCTTCTCCCACCCTGTGCACCACAGCTCAGCTGCACCGCTTCCATGCCATCTGCCTAGAGCGAAGCCAGCTGAAAGGGCAGAGCAGCGGTGCACTGCTGGGGTGAGGGCTGGCAGCCTGGAGGAGCAGAGAGTACTGGTGGGGACCAGCTGATCATTCTGAGCAACCTAGGGTACTTGACCAGGTGGGTTTGTCCAACAGCCTTCTCCCACCCTGTGCACCACAGCTCAGCTGCACCTGCCTGTGGCTCCAGGGAC